GTCAGTGAAAGAGATAACAATCATCATCGTCATTCATCATTATTGCATTTAAATGTGCCAATTGCTTTTAATCTTCATAAAATCCTTGAGGTGGAAACTATTGTAGACCCCATTTTACATGAAACAAAAACCCTGGAGGTTAATTTGCTCAGGGCTACACAGTTGTAACTGGTGGAACTTGATTTTGAATTGAATGTTACTTCAAAGCTAGCAAATAAAGAGAAGGAGAAGGAAGCACAGATGCCCAGTCCCTCCACATATCTAGACGCAAGCATGGATTTTCCATTGCTTCCCATTCCCAGGGCTTACCACTACCTCCCTTATGAGTCAGGGGCAAAAAGAGGAAATTACCAGTGGGGAGAGGGAAAGCAGAGGGGCAATATAGGGAGAGGCATAATAGATACCAACTATTATGTATAAAATAAGCTACAAGAATATATTGTACAACACGGGAAATAACGCCAATAGTTTATAATAACTTATAAATGGAGTATAACCTTTAAAATTGTGAATCACTATTTTGTATACCTGTAACATAATATTGTACATCAGGTATACTTCAATGGAAAAATAATAATAATAATGCCACAAGAGAAAAATGAGGAAATTACATGCATTTCAGATACAATGGAGGTCACTTTGCAACAGAGGTTCCGTGTGGCACACTTCACTTAGAGAGGAAGTCAGCTGTTACTTAAACTGTATATCGAGTAAGCTAATTCATGAAGAAAAAAATTTTAAAGAAACTAAATTAAATTATTAGTGAGTTTGCCCTCAAAGCACCCTACAGGACCTTTATGAGAATTCCAGGAACTTAAGCATATTAGACACCATCATATTTAAAGTGCCCTATAACATAATATTGACTCTAACCATGAAGAAGGTTTTTACAGAGCAACACTCCATCTTGTGGAGAATAAAGCTCCGAGATGTCCCGTATGGAGAAGAGGAGGTCTAAGTGGAGCTTGTTGCCTGTCTGTATACATTTAGAGAGCATTCTCTGGAAGTGAAACTCAGCTGGGAAGTTCCACGGAGGCACATTTTCTCTTAGTCCTGGGAAGTACTTTCTGTCAGCTAGAGCTGTCCAGCCATGGATGGGCTGCCTCAGAAACTCACCTGCTCCCTGTCACTATAGGTGTCATGCCAAGGGGGACCACACTCAGGGAAACTGGGGAGAGATCCCAGTGTTGGGGGGAAGTGGAGTAGACCACTATTTGCACTTTGCGATCTTTTCACTGTATACAGTGTGTCCTGTATTTTAATAGATTTTAATGTCTTTTAGAATCTATTATCTATAAAAGATGCTAAAAGGGGAAAATACCTTAAGGGTAGAAAACAAATTATTTCATGTATTTGGAGAATGTATATTTGGGACTAAGTTAAGAACTGTTCTGTATCAATGAAATCTATAAAGAGATTTAATACTTAAGAAAATATTGTAGAAGGATCCAAAATTCCTAAAAATTTTATGGCTGTGTTTGAGTGTGGTGAAAGGGAAGAAAGAGGAAAACATGGGGGTTTTTGGATAAAAATGGTAAATTGCCATGAATGATTTTTTGATAAAGAGGGTGAACTATCAGACACAACAAGCAGGATGTTGATATTGAAACTATAAAATATTGAAGCAAATGAAGCTGTCAAAAAAGACCTACCCTTGGGCTGGGTCCTCTTATTTCCGTTGGATGCTTGGCTATAATCCTTCTGTACTATGTATACTACGTTAACTGATAGGGCCTCAAAATATCTGTTCAATTAATTTCCAGGCATCTGAATTTCATTGTTAAAATAACATTGTAAAAAATTTCGTTGAGCAGTTTTTTAAGTGTTGGGTATGGAAAACATATTTCAGCGGATTTGGAACACTCTGACTTACCCGGATGCTGTTGACATTTCCTTTCTGCTTTCTTAGGTTTTCATGGGTCAGCCCCTTGTATATTTAAGGGATATAAAGGAAGACATTTTGCAAAGTGGTGCAATGTGACACTGAGGGTGCCATGATTTTTTTAAGGAGAAGGAGCATGGTTTTCAAAAGCAAGGAATATAGCCTGTCTGTACTGCGGCTCATTGTCAGCATTGAGATAGCTCAAATCTTACCATGATTCTTAAATTTGGCATCATTAACACAGGAAATAAAACACAAGGATAATCAGTGGGAAGTGGGCTTACACAGTAGGGGAGAAAATTTGTTTGGTCAAAGGCAGCCGTCGGAGTGCAGAGATTTGATGTGCTGGATTTGTTATTTTGGGGAATACTGAAAGCTAATGTGGTGATGTCAGGCATTTAAGTCTGTTAGAATTTATTCTGTAGATTTGTAAACACCCACGTTCATAAAATTGGTAAACAAGCATTTTGGATTTATGATATGCTAAAGTCTGGGGCTGGGCTTGCTTCTCTCTGCTCTTTCCTCATTAGACTCCTCTCTGAAACCTGGGGAGGCATCATCCCATGTGAAAATATCATTTCTTGAAGCAAGGCAGGGTCCTGAAAACCTTGCTTGAGATGCTGTGATAGCAAACAATTCTGGCCCACGCTATTCCAACAATGGAAGAAAAACTTCCTTTCATGCACTGTCATTCTTCTTTGATCTTTACTTCTTTTGCGGTGTAGTCTCCAATTCTCTGGAGGTTTTGTGCTCACTCCTCTAATTGCCATTAGAGAGGGCTGTGAATCCTCCTCCTTCCCTATTCCAAAGTTCCTAACTATTCTCTTTGACCAAAGTTATTCAGTAAAAATTAAAGGGGCTAGGAGGATCAAAGGCTGTGTGTTTTCAGAATGATGCTGTCATTTTTATGGGGTCCTGAACAGTATGGATCAGTGAGAGGCAGGCGAGAGGCGGCTGCAGTGCTTCAGCATTTTCACGGAGCCTCAAGGGAACCAACCACTTAATAGCATTTAATAGCTTAGGGAGGCTGGTGCCTTGTAGCCTAACTAAAGGCGACATCTTGCAGTCTGATGAATGCTGCTCTTCAGTGTAGCACAAGGAAACCCACACTGTCCTCATAGTCTCCCACCTTTCTCTTTACCCCATTTATTTTAATCTATCTAGCTTGACTTCATTATCTGGTACTAAAAGTATGTACACTTGTGCATTCTTAATGGAACTCAGCAGCGGGTTCCCACCTTAACATCAGCACATGCTGCCTGAAAGATGGTATAAGGGACTCAGTGTGTGCCAGGCGCTGTTCTGAGTGCTTCACTGATATCTTAGTTCACTTAGTCTTCACAGCCCTAGGTGTGTGATTTCATTTTTACCTCCATTTTACAGATGGGAACTCTAAGGCACAGAGTAAGTGGGTAAATTGCCCAAGGCCAGGGGCAGAGTTAGAATTTGAACCATGCAGCCTGATTCCAGAATTCATGGTATTTACTGCTTTGACATCAAACCAAAGAAATAATCGGAAACAAATGCCAAGCATTTCTTCTTCATGGTCTTGTAGCTCAACTCCTATGTAAGATTAAATCACCAGAAAACTGAGGCAGTGACTTTATGGCTGTGGCTCCCTTAATGATGAAAGAAGTTGGAGAAAAGAGGAAGGTTATCTATAGTCTTGTAGACCAGTGTCAATCTAAATTCCAGTCATATTAGTTATGTAATTCAGATTTATTACTAATTTCTCAAGACTTCAGCTGCTCAATCCGTGAAATGTGGATATGACAGTAGCATGTACTACACAGTGTTCTTGTTGACATGATCTTATGTAATGCATTTAGTGCCAAGCACAGTGCCTGACATAGACTTTTAACTGTTACAATTTTAAGCCACCTTTAATCTATTGTGGAAGTAAAATGGTGACCTACAATTAACCAGTTGTGTGTGGGGTTTATTAAAGTGATACTAGTTAAGAGAAGGTGATCAGACACATGGATTTTATTACACGAGGGAAGTCAGCAGTCAGGATTCTACAAGTGGACTAGATTTTCTGTAGTAGTGTCCTTAGATCTGTCGCATAGGACCATTGCGAGGGAAACGGCTGTAATGCAGTGTGTCAGGTATTTATTACACCCCAGGGAGGATTCCATGTTTTTCCAAATTCTGAACTACAACAGGGTCCCAGTGTATCACATCTGCTGTCACCTCCCCCGATTCTGCTTCAGAATGCATAATAGTCATGATGCTGGAATTTGCCATTCTCTTCCAGTTAATTAGAAATTGAAAAGCAGTGTAGTCATAGGGAGGGACATAAAGAGGAAAAATAAGTAAGATGGCACTGCTTTTTAAGGATGTGGGGCTTCTGGGCAGCAGTCAGTCAGTTGCACTCACAAAGTGTGATTCCTGGGGGACAGGGGAGTCGTGTGGGGGTTGTGACAGGTACTCCTTCCTCTTCCCAACCACTGGAACTTCACTATTCTAAGTGAAATTATCTAATTTCTGCCTTCAAATGGAAAAGTTCCCCTTTATTCTTTCTCACCACAGGAGCCCTAAAGACTATTCATGCCAACACAGCAACTCTCTCTTAAAGCTGTTGTTAGAAAATGATGGGGGTGGGTATCTCCAATTCAGGAAACTCCCATCTTTTATAGAAAGGCTTCCATGTGGCACCTTAAGGGTTAAACTTTTGTTGTAGATCGAGTATCAAGTAGCTCTCCTATTTCGAAACTGTCATTTCTAAAAGGTAAGCCAAACATATCTGAGTTTACACTGCTTTCTATGAAAGGAATAACTCACCGCTCCCAGTATGTGTTAGTTTGCTCCTCTCTGTGCCGTCTGCCTCCTATTATCTAATATAATGTGTATATCGGGGTGAGGACCGTCAATCACGGTTAATAAAAACCCAGAACACAACAGAGATCCCTTTTACTAGAGATCCATTTTACAATAGCTCTCAATTTCTTATGTCACATAAATCAAAAGTGAAGTGTTTATCTAATCATTCGGAGGCATCCCTTCTCCCTCTGTGTCCTAGCCCCTCCCCCTGTGCCAGTTTCCAGCCCCTCAAAGATGCTTTGTACCAGAAAGTGCAAGTTCCCCATTCTGGCTTTATTGATGTTCCCTTTTGCTCTCCTCCTGGCTCCCCCTCAAACCAAGTGAGCAGAGCAAATGGCCCGGGTTTTCCCCCAATGCCTGACCTGCGTTTACTGGGAGGAGAGCAGGAGAGGGAGCGCGCATTCCGAGCAGGCTGCTCTGACTCCGACCACAGGCTGTTCCGTGCAGGCTGTCCCTCTCCTTCAAAACCGTGCATCCCCTCCCCGAAGCAGCAGGCAGTGTGCCTCCATTCAGCCACATTTGGTATGCATGAGCACGGCTGCAGGGAGAGGGGAGGTGGCTTTCTTAAGAAGGTTCAGTGGCTCAGGCAACGCCACTTGACTAGTCTCCCAAGTTGCAGGAAGCCTCTGCCCTGATGGAATTTGCAGGTGTGGAGATGACCATGGGATGCCAGGGCCGTGGGGGACCGTTTATTTTCTAGGCGCTGCTCAGGTTTGCGGTTTCTGGTTTTCCTGGTGGAATTTGGAAGGGGTCATGAATCAAACTGATGCTCCTCGACCCCTAAATTGGACCATCCGGAAGCTGTGCCACGCAGCCTTTCTCCCATCTGTCAGACTTCTTAAGGTACTGTAACTTGCTGCTTTGAATGGCTCTCATTGTGCTTTTCAGGTCTAAACGCCCAACTTTGCTCTAGGCTGGGACACACCTTTTGGGGAGCACAGATGTGTGCAGTCCTGGCTCTGTTGCTGGTGGTTGGAGAGAGGTTCTCAACGCCCCTCACCCCATGGTGTCAGAGAGGGAGGATGGTCTGAGCCACGTTTGAGAATGAGATTATGGTCGCAGAGAATGGACTGCCTGAGTGCTCCCCACCCCCAAACGTCCCTAAAATAGAATTAATTAACTTCTTTGGGAGGGTGGGAACAGTAGTGGGAGTGAAATCTCTTACTCCCATGTGTTTAGCTCCTGGATTCTTTTCCCTCCCTGGGGAAGCCCTTCGACCCAGTTTCCCTTTAAATGGAACCTGAGAGAACAAAGGATTCTCCTCATTATTTAAAAAGCCCTGTGTCCTTAGGTAGTCTCTCAGGTAAAGACAAAGAATGAACCCTTGTCAGATTGTGACTTTTTTGGGTATACTTGTTTTGAAAAAAAGCATGATAATTTTAGTCTCTGAAGTGAAGTCAGGAGAAGGAAAGTATTGTTAAATATGTACTGAACGTGTGCCTGGAGCTTTCTCTCCAGCTCCGAGTTACACAAAAGAATGGCACTACACCTGAGCTAGGATGCTACCTGGTGTCTGCAGCACTCCTCTTTCTAGAAGCAAAGACATCAAACATACTGAGAAAGTCCCCACAACTTCATAATAATTCTCTTCATCATCTGCCTTGTAGGGAAGGAAATACAAGTAAAATTTAAAAGATGTAGAAAACAAATATTTTTCCTCAGAAAAGAGGATGTGGTAACACTTATTTGGGAAAAGTACGTTATCTCTGGATATCCCACATCCATCTGAAGTTAAAAAAGCAAGGTGAAGTTCTTAATTCTCTTTTCCATATTAGTATGATTTTGTGATTTAGTGAGCACTGGACATTGAGCCCAGTGTCACAATGGAGGATTAATAAATTAACCCTGAATAAATTACACTTGCAACCTTTTTTTTCCCGAGGCTGTGTTCTGGTTGGGTCAAGTTTGATGTGGACAATTAGTTCTGTACAGCTAAGTGGCTTCTTACAACAGAGTATCACTTTGTCTAAGTTTTCCTTACCCTGTTCAACCAATACTAGCTGAGATTCACTTTCACAAAGGCTACCCCCACATCCTGTTCAAACACCCACCATATTGTTGTTATGGCGGTGGTTTGCTTCCCTAAGAGAGTATTTTGGAGAAAAAGCAGGTTTGGAAGTGGAAAGTGGGAGAAATGCTTCCTTGGATGTAACTGCTTTGCCGTATTGGAACAATATGTGTGATAGGGCATAAAAAAGAATGAGGTCAGGGAACTAACAAATGAATATAAATTTTCCTCCAAAATCACTCCTGAATCGAGGGTCTGGGGCGAAGAATGTCTTGGCAAACCTTACTGTGACTGAGAACGTTGACTCCAGCAATACCATGTGCAACAGGAAACATTTTTCAGTTAAATCACTTACTGACTTTACCCCCAAATAAGGCTTTTTAATTAACATAATGATTTTTTTAAACAGGTGTGTGTATACCACCTTCAATATATTTTTATTCATTCTCTCATTTTTTAAATAGAAAAATGTTACTTATCATTTGCTAGTCACAAAACCAGCAGCAAAGTACCTATTTGTGGTAGATTACTAATTTTTAAAAGAGCTTTCATCTTTTTTAACTGAAAGTACTGTCCATGCTCTATACCAGCAGCCGTTGTCAGTACTACACCAACACCATAGTTGGCATACAGCTCAGTCCTACCATCCTTTACAAACTTGGTGCTTTGTAACTATTCATCTAACAAAATGCATTAATGAGTATCCTTCCAATTCTCTCAATATCTGAAAGATAGGATGTGTTTTACTAGAGAACTTTCTTTCCAAATGACATCTGTATTTTTGCAAGCTCGTACCTATCCTGGGAGACTTCAGATATTGAGTACATTTCAAACTCAAAAACAACAACAACAACAACAAAAAACAATGCTACCAAATTCTTTCAGCAATACTTAAAAAGAAACGAAAACTGCTTTTGTATGAGTTAATGTAATTATCAACACTCTGCATATGAATGCCATGTAATTTTTCCCCCTCTGGATTGTGGCTGTCTAGTCTTTGCTTTGCCAGTTTTGCCCCATGATTTCTTGCCCTGCTTTTACATTTCAAGGAAAATGGTAGTTGCTGAGTAATCATTTGCATCTTTTGGTCAGTGTTCTACCTGGTTTAGTTTGTAAATTAAATATTTAATCACAGTAATCCTTACTGTTCTTTCCTTACTTTCTGCTCTTTTCTTCCCGCCGCCACCCCCCAAATCTCTTACTCCGTCTCCCTCACACTACCACCACCATGTTAATATAATGGATGGATTCTCCAGAGTCCATTGAAATTTTAAGCTAATAAACCCAATTTTCCTATTCAACAGGTAATTTTTCTTCCTCTTCCGAGCATATTTCTGATGTGCTGTGCCCCTTCCAGCCCTGACTTGTCAGTAAATGCAGTGTAGGGCGTGATGGCATGATGAGATTTAACTAAACTCAGATCACTCACTGCTTCTGATGGATTGAGCTCCAGCCAATTTTCCTCCGTATCCTTTCCTTGAAAATGTGTGTCTCCTTGCTGACTGTCTTCAGGACCATGCTAATGTTTAAAAATGGCTTCATAATCCTGTTTCCTGTATCTCCCATTTCCTAATAGATACAGGATACTAAAGAATTAGAAGGGAAAGGCCAGCCTCTGAAGCATGAATTAAACCCAATGAATGTTATAAAATACTTATTATTTCTTCTGAAAACATCTCATTTGTGGTTTTGTCCATCTTGGAGAAAATTTTGAATATGTCAGCCAGCTCACATTTTGAATTTGGGATTGCATTTGGAAATACCATTTGAAAATGAATTTTTGGATAGACACACGATGAGGATAGCCAAAAGACAGAGGCTGTTTTCAAAAGGGTACATTTCAAATGGGACCTTTTCCAAACTATTTCTTTACAGTTATCATTTGCTTTATTCTTACGTGTTTCAAGATTTCATCTTACTATTAATCACAAAAAGTCAAATTTATTTCAGTGACAGAATGTTCTTAGCATATTTTATGTTCATTATCAAGACTGTTTCTGCCTTTGTTTTATTTGGGAGATTTTATTTGGGTAACTTCTGTTGAATTTGAAGATTAATTTTAGAACAGAGAGCTTTCTTTGTATTGAAATCTTGGTGGACTTAATAAAGGGAAGGCTTCTGAAAAATGGGTTGCATTGGGGAAGAGGGAAGCTCTGCTCTTGTAACAGGCTTTGGGTGCACATGTATAAGATACTTCCTTAATGAAGACCAAACAATCAGTATCATTTTAGGATTTTCAGAGAAAGTATGATTTTACCACTTTGAGCGATGTCTGAAAGAGGTGAAAGAAATCATATTTTGGATAGTTAGGCCTAAACACTGGGTCCTAATTTCATTGTGTTTCTAACCACCTGTGTGACCTTGGGGAAGTTACTTAACCTCTCTATAACTTGGTATCCTTCTCTTTAAAAATGAAGAGTTTAGGTCTTGGGTTGACTTAGATTCAGTGCTACAATTCCATGTGGTAAAGGCTGCCATGCTCTGTGGGCATGGAAGAACATAGTCTGTTGAGGCTAAAAGTAGTTAAACTGGGTTGGATATTAAAATGGAAGGAGGACTAGAACAGTCGTAAGGTTTAGATAATAGAGGGCCTTGTCTGCTAAGCTAAGGCATTTGATAGTTATCCTGAAAACTAGGGAGTGCCATGAAAGGGGTCTACCTAGCAGCAAGGTGACCACTAGATTCATGTATTAAATAGATTGCTTTGGCTGTAGTGTCTAGAATGGGTGAGAGATGGTGGGATTGGGAGCTGAGAGATTAAATTTGAGGCCTGAAGAATTGATGAGGACCTGGGCTAAGGCAGTAGTAAAAAGAGGTGAAATAAACAGGGCCTTGCTGTATTGATTAGCTGTGGTAGAGGAAGGGTCCTAGGATATCTTTGGAGTTTCAGTCTTTACTGTCCGATGGCCCCAGTGATGGTGGTTCCAGTGGCTGAAAATAGAGGTCCTGAGAAGGAGGGACAGAACTTCTCACTTGGTGGTTCTCCTTTGGTGAGCTAGAAAAGGTGTGTCAATTATTGATTCTAGTGGGACTGAGACAGAAGTAAGGAGTATAATTTCATGTTGATGAGTATGAGTCCCAGTGAATGCCTGATAGCTGAACTCTTTTATGTAGATGATATAAAATCAGTAAGATCACTTCTCATTTGCTTAGATTGTGTTTTTGTTCTTACACCCTGCCTTCTTATAAAACAATGCATAGTAAACTCCCAGTTTTTTGATATCTTGTCCAAAAGCTCAGAGTTTCAGTTCCTTTTTTTCTCATTTATGCTACTATCCAAAGAGGGACTAATGAAGGTGAACCAGGTATAACACAAAGGAAATAATTGAAAGAGCAGTGATCAAGTTAGGCTGTCAGCTCACAAATTCTGCCTAAGTACCCATGTTTTCTACCTCTGCAATTTCATGTAGTGGTAACCAACGTCTGTTACATTACATTGTCCCTGAAGCACAGCAAGATCCTAATGTTAACGTAAGTTGGATCTGTCTTCTATAGTTGACGCCAGACGTTCCAGAAACTGGTTTCCCTTTGGTGTTCTCAGACTCTTAGCAAACAATTATGTTGAGATTCATTTCAATTTGTGTTTTAAATTTATTATTTTCAAGGTATCCCTTTCACATCTAAAATTCTGAATCTTTACATGGTAGATAGAGTATAACAAGAGTTTTTGCTCAGCCAGGAACCACATGCTAGTGAATAGCAGTTAAGTTTCCACAGCAAGAGGGGAAACATACACCTATTATATCCAGACATGTTCCTGAATGGTGGCGAGTGACGTCAGGAAACTCATTATGGACCAATTCTAGTAAGTGCCTTAAAGATGGGAAACTTGAAG